TGCCTTTGAAATGGTGTTATGTCTTACTGTATTTATGTAGTCATGTGGCTTTACTTAAAAAAACCAAACCCTTAGAGTGGTAGATCACAGGCTTGTAGTTATCATCTGTCTCACTCTTCATTTTTTCCTAATTCACCTTGTTGTTTTTCACTAGTGCTAACAGATCAGCCTGGCTTCAAATACATTGCCTTGCTTGGGCATGGGCAGAACAACTGAAAGGGTCTGATAGGCCTTGGCTCAAGGGAGAAGATAAACAAGTACAAGATCAGTGGTGCAGCACTTCAGGTGTCTGGATATAAATTGGTTAGGAAAATACCTGTTGCTTCCCACATTCTTCAATCTGTATATGATAATTGTGGAAATCTTGGTAGACAGAGCCAAGCAGTTTTTCATATGCTGTTACTGAAGATTGAAAATATTTTCTAGTACAAACTATACTTTGGGGGTTTGGTTTTTTTCTTTAATTTTGTCAGCAAATGAAACTTAAGTACTAAAATAATTACAACTTCAGTATAACAGGTTTGAAAAGTTACAGGACCCATACAAATTCCCTAGTATATTTTTATATGGACTGTAGCAATGTGAGCTGCAAATCTAAAATAACTGATAGTGAATTTTTAGGAGTGGCAAGCATTCACATTACTCTTACTAAGCTAAATGATAAAATAAATCTGCTTTCAAGTCAAGCTTGCCCAGTGGTTTGAATTTTTGGGAGTTTTTAGGTTGGTTTTTTTGTGTGTGTGTGTATTTGAAAACCAAAAAGCTAAGTTAAAGCTTAGATGTCCACAAAACAGAACTATTGGTTTTATTTGTATCTCAAGAGTGCTAGAATATGTCAGACTTCTACACTTTGTCTTTGGACAGGAATATTTCCTTTTGTCCTGAAGTAAAAGAAAACTCTTAGTTGTTAAAAGTTTGTGTATGCAGGAGATGGAATCATCAGTACTTCTCGCTGCATCTGCCATTTTACCTCCCTGATACATTTCCTTATGACAAAGACCACCGTGAGCTGGTGCTAATGCAATCAACATAATGCATTGCTGAATTGGAGTATGTTCTGACTTTCCTTTAAGCTAACCACTTTCTTTATAAATTCCTCACAGGGGCTCCTACCTAGGCAGAGGCTCAGGGAGGTTCCACACAGAGGCTACTCAAAGAGGCTCGTGTGTAAGTCCTCAGATCACTTGCAGCTGTTCCAGCTAATTCAGTCAATTAGTCTAAATAATAATTCCACTGTCTGGGGCAGCTACAGCTGTTTTAATGCCTGCAGGTAATTCTCATGGCTGTTGCTAGCTCCAAAGACACTTGAGGTGCCTTAGCTGGTATCTTAATTTTTTTATGTCTTGAAGGGAGGGTGTGGTGGTTGTTCTTGTTTGTTTGTTTGTTTTTGTTGAGCCCAGAAGGTTAAAAAACCAAGAATTACTGCTGGGCAACCTTTACCACATCAATTATTTTTTTTTTTGCAATTGAGCTAAAGCTTCCAAGTTTTTAGGTACTGTGCAGGATGACTGGATTTCTTTTTTGTAGTAGTCGATTTTGATCTTAAGTGGACAAATACTATTCAATTGTATAGTTAACTGGGCTGAGACACCAAATTTTTATTGTCTGCAGTCACTTAAAGCAACTCAGTTTTGAGATACGTGAACTTCTAGGAGGGTCTGGATTATGCTCTTAGACTGGGTTTATGGCTTGATGTTACATTTACAAAGCTTTTCTTGCAATATTTGTGTGATCATATATTTTGCTGAGGGTCAAGTTTGGCTATTTGGTAGCAACTGTAGCATTCAGCATCAAATTAAGTTTTTAATTAGACAAGGGAAACTTAGTGTACCTATTTCTCTGTGGGAGATTAAAAAAACCAAACCCTGCAGGCTCAATGTGTACTTGTGGATGCTTTCTCTGATATTAACTTTACTGTTTTTCCATGCTGTGCACAGTGGAATATATAATAATTTCAAATAGGTTACAGCTAAGATTAAATGTAGATATTTTTTTTTAATGCATGTTACTGAAAATTGTCTTGCGTGTTTGCTTTATTAAATCAAGTACGCTGGGTGAAAGGCTCTCAGGCCTTGGGCTTTGTTCTTCCTGTGGAGCTCAACATATAAAGTTAACCTGTTGTAATGGGTATGTTCAGAGTCAAACTTTCATAGCTGACTCACAGAATCTAATACTGAAATTATACAGCACTGAAACCTGTACTAGGAAAAAAATATAAGCTAGCTCTTAAAAACCAAACCAAAACTCACAACTTTTTCCAACAGTACAAAATAACAGGGTAGGCTTTTATATTCAGCTATAGAGATCTGTGTGAGAATTGAGTGTAATAACTGATAACAGTGGTGATTATTGTTAAATGTTTTCATTGCAAAACCATTCTCCTAAGGATAACAAAAATAAGATTAAAAACATTAGTCTAATGGACTTTCACTTAACACTTCTTTTTTTTAAAGCTGTCACAGCTTTTTTTCCTGCTGATAAACTAAATTAAGAGACATCTATACTTAGAATTTGTATTCAGAGAATAAAATGTTACTTGCCAGCATGTGAAAACAGTTTGAAAGCTAAAGCCAGGTACATAATGTCTTCTAACACTTGTTGAGTTCCTAGGCTGTGTTAGTCACACAAGGCCAGGATACAGTTTATTTTAGTTATGCTAAGTTATTGTGTGTTTATGCTTCAGTTGTAGGACTGTTCTGACCATCCTGTTAAATTGCAAGTCACAGATATCCATGTAATTTTTTTGTCATGCTGTTTTGTGCTATGGGTTGTTCTTCACTTAATAAGTGGAGGTACAGAGTCTTAATGTAGGTTTTGGGGCTTCTTGGTGCTCTCTTTCTCCTATAAGCAAGTGCTGTTAACCCATCTTTTAACTTTGGGACTGTGATGGGTTAACCTTGGCCAGCAGCCCAATGCCCACCCAGCTGCTCCCTCCCCTTCTTCAACAGGATGGGGGAAAAAGTAGGATGGAAAAGCTTATGGCTCAGGATGAGACAGGAAGGTTGCTTACCAGTTAACAGACTCAGTTTGAGGAAAATAAATTTAGTTTGTTGCCAGTTAAAACAGATTTGGATAGAGAGAAATAAAGAAGAAGAAAACTTGAACCCACCTTCCCCTACATCCCCATTTTTCCCAGGTTCAACTTCACCCCTTCATTCCCAACTCCTCTACCTCTTCCCCTCTGAGCAGCATGGGGGGGTGGGGAATGAGGGTGGTGGTCAGTCCATAACACTCTCTCTCTGCCACTCCTTTCTCCTCATGCTTTGCCCCTATTCCAGTGTGGGGTCAATCCTATGGGCTGAAGTTCCTTCAGGAAATGTCCATCTGCTCTGCCATGGGATCCTGCACAGGCTGCAGTGTGGACATCTGCTGTGCCCTGGAGCACCTCCTCTCACTCCTTTTTCTTTGACCTTGGTGTTTGTGCTGCTGTTTCACATTCTTTTTCTCTTCTGCATGCCTGGCATTTTTTCCTCTTTGTTAAATACGCTTCTCTAGAGGCCCCACCATCCTGGCTGCTGGCTTCAGCTGTGCCCTGTGATGGGTCCAGCACAGGGCAGTGCTGGCCACTTCTCAACAGAGGCCACCCTGCAGCCCCCCTGCTCCCAGCACCTGGAGATGCCTGTTGTTAGCGCTTCAGTCACTCTAAGTAACTTAGGAGTTAACTTTTTGATTAATAAGCAGTGTTCTAATTGGCTTTGCTCTTGTTACTCTAAGCCTAATGCTGGTGTGTTCTTATTCCTGTTTGGTACTACTTGTATAGTATCTTCAGATTTGTGTTCAACTGCAGTGCTGGGGCAAGAAAACATCATCAGCTAGTTATAAAATAGACTTTTTTGTTTTACCTTTAATCTACAACAGCTTTATATGAAAGGGCTATTTTCAGCAGTAATAAAGCCTTCAAAAGAAAGGAGCACGTGGGGAATGTTACTGCCAGATGAAAATTGGCAAGTAGGACAATACTGTAGTTGAAGTGAATAAGGTTATTTATGTAAGGGAGAGTGTCTGCTTCTTTAAGGGAATCTGGTCAAGGACCTTTTTCAAAGCAAAACCAGGATAATAAGAAAAGGAGGAAGCCATAAACAAAGTGTACAGGGACACAAACCTGAGGAAGGAATGATAAGGGAGGCGGTGATGAGAACCAAACCTGGCCACTGATTGATGAGTGCATGTCGGGGTGTGGGAATGTTCATTCCCGCAATTTTATCTAAGCAGAGACCTTAAGGGGGAAATCAGAACCAAAAATATACAGACACAGACCTAGGAAAACAAAAGTGGAGAAAAATGAGAAGAAAAAACCTGCCAGTCACACTAATTGACAGTCTGTCAAGAAAACACAAGCATCGCTTCCAGAAGACCAGCCTGGCTTTTGGATCTGATAAGGCTGTAAACCAGGGTAGAAGCCACACACTAGGCTGGGGGGGTGGGAGGGACACACATGGCACAAAGCAGGGGTAGGCAGAAAGGGAGTATAAGAAGGGCTGGTTGTGTGTAATACTGGGCCAGTCAGTATGCTTGTCTGGATGTGCATTTTACCTGATTGCCACAGTCTGTCCTATCTTCTTACATCATCTTATTAAATCTTTTCTTTTCTCTCTGTGTAATCTCACTCTCTACCCCATCTATGTGTGTGCTGCAAGGATGAAGTGCCAGCTGCTGATGATAGCTATGTGTGTGAGTGGATGGGGTGTCAGCTACTGGAGTGAGTGGGATGCTTCAGTGCCAGCTACTTGTATGGGTGGGAGGGTCTCATCTTTCAGCCGCTGGGATGGGGAGGGTGAGTGTCCTGAAAACCAGCTACTGCAGGGGAACTGTGTGAGTGAGGCAAGTGTGGGGCAGAGCACCAGTGGCTGGAGCAGGACTGTGGGTCACAGCCCATGTGCCTGGTGCCAGTTGCTGGGCTGGTGTCGGAGGAAAGTGTCTTATCTTCGTCAAACCTGTTGTGCACGTGTACTTACTAGCAAACTTCAAGCTGGACCAAGGCAGGGACTTGTGTGATGGGTATGAGGGCCTGGGATCTGGGCAAGGGTATTGGGTGGACCGAGGGAGCCATGCTGGTACTTGGGGGACCTGTGAATGTGCATGTACTTGTGAACCTGGAGAACATAAAGTGTGTGCCTGCACCGGTGAACTTCTGCCTCTGCCAGCTGAAGAAAAGGGAACTTGGTTCTCTGTGCTTGTGTTTTGTGTGAGTCTTCTATGTAGGTGCTATTGAAGGCAGTGCCTTGTCTGTGGCAGCCTGTGTGACCAGCTGCGTTAGTGTCCTGTGTGTGTGTCACTGGGATACATGCTCGGCTTTGCTACTACTTGAACCTGCCAAAGGGAAAGTGGCAGCTGTGTCCCTCAGCCTGCACAGAGACCCCAGGGCACTGAGTTGGGCTCCAGCAGCCAGGCAGGAGGCAGTCCTTGGCTGGAGTGGCTGGGAGAGGCAACTGCTTTTGACATCCCTTAACTATTTATACTTGTCAAATTTTAAGTAAAGATGTCTGAAGTATTTCTAGTTCTGGTAATGATATTATGTGCTTTTGGAATTTAGCTGGTGGTACTCAGGAGCTGGATGTGAAACATCTCTGCCATATGGTTTAAGTTCAGTGGGGCGGATGACAAATTTCTAAAAATAAAATTCTGTTGTTCTTGATATTAAAAATAAATAAGTAAAGCTTCTTCTGCTTAAGTAAAACAAGTTATCGCAAAGTGCTACTTACATCTCTGGAACTCTACATTTATGTGCCAGTATCTGAGCTAAAGCATAAAGTAGACTTGAAAAACCAATTGTCCATATTCTATTTCAGACTGAGAAAATTAATAGGGTGTATTGAATTTTCAAATCTACATAAATTAATAGTTTGCTGTGGTTTTAAGTGAAGATACATAGCTGTATTTAACTTGTGTCCAGCAAAAAGTGCATTGACATCTGTTATCAGAGTTTGCAGATGTTTTTTACTGGATATGTAAAAATGCTTTAATTCTTGTAATGTAGCCATTTATGTAGGATGTCTTCACTCTCTCTGTTTGCACAATAGATAATTTACTTAATTTATTGTAATTGACTTTTGTTAAAGAATATTATGATCCATGCTCCTTCTTGACTGTAAAAGTTGTATTTTACTTTGGTGTGAAAACCTTTTGCTGTCCAGACCACAAGGAAGATCTGATGTTCTGTTGCTCTGTGCTAATGGATCAGGAATTCCACTGTTGCAATGCATTTTTGTTGTTAGATTTCTTTAAATTGATAGATCTGACTAATCTTACTCTTCTTTCTTTCCTGACAGCCGATTTATTTTGCACATTCCAAGTGAAGAGAGAGATAATGCAATCAGAGTGTGTTTTCAGATTGAACTTGCCCACTGGTTTTACTTGGATTTCTATATGCAAAACACACCAGGATTACCTCAGTGTGGGATAAGAGACTTTGCTAAAGCTGATATCCTTTTTATTACTGTGATTGTTTTCTGCCTCAGCGGATAAAGTGTAAACTGAATATTGTAACTGAAATTTCATACTTGCAGCAGGAAAATGTCAGTTCATATGTTAGTGGTTAAAAGTTAGTATTGCTAGTTATATGATTCTTATCTGTTCATTACTTCCATGACTTTGTGGCATCCATAAAATAGGTGTTTCTCAGACTGCTGAAGAACTGTGGAAAACTGGTTATTTCTGATCCTTGAGGATTTATCCACTTTGGCAGACTAGGTAGGGTTCAAAGATGAACTGTTGGAGCTCTTCATGGTGTTTTGTCTCTTTAATCGCTTCCCAAGTAAACGGTGACATAAATGTTAAGGTAGCTGAAGATGGTATGTGTTCCCCAATGGGTAGTGGTATATATTTGTTGGAAGTACTGACAGTTGTTCCTAGAAACAGTTCTGTTGATAGGGGAGAGGATGCATTTTTACTGAATTCATGTGGTTTGCCTCTGCTTTTTTTCATTGCCTACAAGAGCTGCTGGAATGTATGCTATCTAGTCCTTGCTGGAGAAAAACTCGTGACTTTCATCCAGCAAGTGCTGTAGTTTTAACCTTTTCCCATATATTCTTGATATGGGATTGAAGTATTGCTTCTAACTTTCATGATATTATCTGTGTTTTCACTACACAGTGTGCCTATCTGTTAGTTTGATAACAGAGACTTACTTTGAAACACTACAGCTTTTATGTTAACAATAAACGGTAAAAATAGGATTATTTTCTGTTGCTTGGTATTATACAGTTATTTCTTTATCTAAGGTATACAGGTATTTTCAGACCAACAGAATTCTTTTAGTAATTGTAGATGTTCCTGGAAAAATACAAGGTAATAGATGTTATTTATTTGTTACTTCTGTCCCTCTCCAGCTCACATTTACCAGAAATACTAGTTCTGCTGCAGTTCTGTACTTCTAAGTAGTCTGCTATGGAATATTTTTTATTGGTAGTAGAATTTTATATCCGATATGTAATGTTAATACTTTTATTAGGGACTTGCAGATTTGCTTTCAAAGTTTTCGAGTTATACAGGTAGTTCATGTTTTCTCTGCATGGTGGATTTTGGTAAAGTGATTAGAATTTAGATCTCTGTAACTTGATGTCATTAACAGTAATTTTGTTGCATGGTAAACACTTAAGTACATATTCTGTACCATATTCTAACAATGATTGAGGGAAAAATTTATCTCTGCATACTTCAAGCAGAAGATGAAACCGTATTTTTGTCTCTCACTTCAAAGTGGAAAACAATGTGTTTAAGAATAATACATATTCAAAATAAGTTATGTGGATGCTTTTCCTTCAAAATTAGGGGAGACCTTCCTTGGAACAAGCAGCCTTGCACTATCTTTTCTCGTTTCTATTTTTTTTTAAATTGGCTCGTATTAGAATTACCAAATTACTTGATGCTTTCCTTTAGAGTTTTGTAATGGATTATTCAATAATATTTTTTACTTCCAAGATAATGTATCTTGAAAGCATTTAGTGGAGGGAGTATTGTTATCATAAATGTTGGATGGGTATCTTTTGTATGTCTGCGTGTGATTTGAGATTGGATGCTAAAGTTTATCTTCCTTAACATGCTGCTGTACTCTTCAGTCACTGCCCTTTTTTACTGCCTCAAGGTGAAGATGTACAAAAGGTTTTAGATGAGTGGAAAGAATACAAAATGGGAGTGCCAACCTATGGTGCAATTATTCTCGATGAAACACTTGAAAATGTAAGTACGGAAATAGTTGTGAAGGGCTAGAGGGAAGGATGACATATGCTAGTAGAGGTAATCTTTTTGGTGTTTACATTTTTCATCAGGAGGAGAAAAAAAAGTGCTTCAGATTCACAAAGACGTGACGGTTATTAACACTGTTGAATGTGTACAGAAATATAATATGGGAGACAGTGAACACACTTCTGCTTGCTTTTCTACTCAGTTTTGGTTTTTTTTTATTGTGAGTTGCATGATCCCATAAAAAATTTCACAGTTGTTGCTAGAACACAGAAAACCTCATGCGTTCCTTCCTCCAGGCAAAAGTATTGTTTTGGAGTAGCAGGGGATGGTGAAGGGAAGACATCTAACAGACATTCGTTAGAGTAGTGGGTGTCTGACAGTTGCATTCCCTTATACTTTGCAGGTTCTTTTGGTTCAGGGCTATTTAGCGAAGTCTGGTTGGGGATTTCCAAAAGGGAAAGTAAATAAAGAAGAGGCTCCTCATGACTGTGCTGCTAGAGAGGTAAGTTATATTTGATTCACTTAGCTTAAATCTAAAGAAATGAAATTTTGCTGTGAGGAAGATGTATGCATTAGATGAAAAGACATTTTACTTGGATATCTCTTTATTGAAATTAGGTAAATAAATAGTCTGTTCTGCAGGAGTCTTCTGCTGTAGCTTTTAGTGCTTTTCTGAGTTCCAGTGTGATAATCAAGGGTGTGGTTATATAATTTAAAAATAGTACTCAACTTAGCAAGTTAGTGCAAAACAATTAAAAACATTGAACAGTGATTTTTTTAAAGTTCTCTACTGAACTGTCAGTTTACTTTTAAGTATTATTTTTGGTGCTTGGGAAATCTTACATAATTTGTAGCTTTTGGAATATTAATTTCAAGAGCAACCATAACTATAAAAAGGTAGAAGAATGGGAATTTAGCTTATGTGCGCTGGGCTATGTAAACAGGCTAAAGAGTTGAGTTGGAGGTTGTAGAAGATATGTAAAAATTGTGAAGAACTTTTTCTATTTTTCCATAATGCATTTATATGGCAAGTAAAATCTGAAAAATAATCTGTGGGATTTATTGCTGCTGGAGACCTACATATATAGTTAAGCTGCATATTAAAAAAAAATACCCTGTAAAAGAATTACTGGTAGAAACTCAATGTTCGTATAACATAACACATCCAGTCCTGGGTTACAACAATTTAAAGGTATTTCC